ATCAAAAGACTGCGTTTGGGAACTTGTTGAATGACCCTGGTGAGGCTGTCCAGAGCTTGGTGTCGCAGTGAGCGAGTATGGTCGGTGTCGTGCCAGGCATGCTGGTAAAAGTTAATCAGATCACAAGGCTGCGACCTGCGACTGAATTGCACGCGTTGCAGGCGTCCGGGTAGAGGCTCCACATAACGTAGGGAACCCTGGTCTACCAGCTTTTTAGAAATAACTGTGAGTAAGCCCCCTTGCTTAAAGTCTTTGGTCGCGGAGCCACTGTGTATGAAAAAGTACTGATTGGTGTCCCAGCAACTACTGAAGCGCCATTTGGTTTCTTGCAACAAGAGAACATCAACCGGGTTTTGATGAATGTGTATCAAGATTTCGTCATACAGTCCTCCACCTAAGCTGCCCACGTTCCATGTGTAGACATTGAGTCGTTGGGGAAGGATGTCGGGCGTGGGGACAGGTCGGGAAGGTTGGGAAGGGTGTGATCGGCGCGGGGTGAAAGAGCTGGCAAACTCCGAGGAGTGCAGAGACAGTGGCTGCTGTAAGGCCGAGACAGTGTTCTGATCGTACCAGCGGCCCTTGTACCAGGCTCCACCTGCGCGCAGGATGCGCCGATGCACACGCATGAGAGAGCGTTTGACAATTCGCTGTCTTTGGAGGGATGGTGGATGCGACACGCAAGTCGCTCCCCGTGTTCCCAGAGGCTTCGCGGGAGCCTGTCTTGGAGCGGGAGTGGATCTCCCCGCTTCACCACCGACCTGGGAAGCCGGTGGAACCCTCGCGTCTGGTGTAGTAGTTGCTCCAGCAGCTTGCGTGTGCAAGAGTAGCAATCCGAGAGTGGAAAGAAATCGGCAGCTGGCCTGGCGACTACACCTCCCGGACTGGGGACCGGGAGAGCCCTGCATACGGTATGGGAGAACCAAGTGCTCCCTATCATAATTGCTGGTGCCTTGTCGGGGGTGGCACTGAATAAGAGTGCAAGTATATAATGACTGGGGTGTGTCTGTGTCGTGTAATGCAGATCTGCGTTGTTCGCAGCGCGGGAAGAAACATAAACCCTGGAGGTAAGAGCCCTGCATGTTGTAGACCATCGTCCCTCGGAGCAGATCACCTGTCAAGTGGCTGGCAAAGGTATAAGAGCAGGCAGTCCACAAATCCCAGAAGTGATATGTAATGGGAGCTAGGGTGTTACTCGGCAGATGAGCATGTAGCTTGCACCGTGAGGCATAGGTTGGCCTGCCAAGGGCGGCGCTTCGAGCACGGATTGAACTGGCGCGGCAAGGTCGCCCGGCCCACGGGTGTCGACAAGAGGACCTATTCTTGAGCAGAGTGGGTATATGCCATAGGAAGGTTCGGGTATCTGCCTGAATATGCCACTGTGGGGAGGGGGGGGGTTCGCTCGAGTGATGACTGTATCCCGCTCTGTACACACCAAGGCGCTAAGTGGGTGGCCTGGGCTGCTCCCAGCGGGGTAGACACACGGTGGGGCAGCCTGGCGAAGCAGCGGTGCCAGTGCAATAGCCTGGGCAACCTGGTCGCATATGGCATTGGCAGGGGCCACAGTGGTGTGATGACTGAGAATCCCATGGAGGTTCCAACAATGCAGAGTTGGAGGCAGGCGATGCCCCCCCAGAGCGCCAGCATCTCGATGCAGCATCATTGTTAACCCCACATGCGAGTTGGAAGTCAAACCTGAACTCAACCGAAAAAGACTGAATGGGGCACCTGTACTCGCGTGGCTCGTGAAGACGCCTGCCAGGCCGTGGGAGGCATTCCAGTCTGGTGGTGGACGGTATTGCATGGTTGATCCCGCGAGGAAGCAAGCCTACCAGGGAGTCTAGAGCTATGGACGTTCTCAGGGGGCGCGACACAGCTAGTGCATCGCGAGGAGCGCGAGCAGATACTAAGCGGGGTTTGCTAGAAGATCCCAGGACATACCCAGATGCATGTGCAGCCCAGCCCTGCATGTATGGCCGCGCATCGCTCGGACGTCTGTTGAATCCACTAAGCTCGTCGAGGTACACAGCTAAGCTATCGTCGACAGCAATGGTGCTCCCGCCATGGGCGAGATGATAACCAGGAGGCCGAATCACCCGTATTCGACCAGTAGCCCGATCACGCTTGAGCGGAGCTACCCCAGACGGCAGGCCTGTGGAGGTATTCACACGGACCGGCAAGTCCCCCCTACGACGCAGCCTTGACAACTCAGCGTCATCGTCGTCATCCTCGTCATCCTCCTCGGATGTGGCCTCCGCCACTGGGGCGTCCGGAGCTGGCAGAGTCCACACCGTCGGCTCAGACGGTGCAACATCCTCTCCAATCTGGCCAGTAGACTCAGGTTCAGCGATGGTGACTGCAATGCTGTACGCAGCCTCGGGTAGCATTGGCTCAGACAACGCTGGATCAGTCACATCATTCCTCGTGGAACCTGATGCAGCCTCGGCGGTAGGGGGAATGTGATCCGTCCTTGTAGCAGCTGCAGGAACATCCGAAGTCTCCGCGTCAGCGACAGAAACAGCAGTGACAGGCCGTCCTCTTCCACGTACCTTGGGTGTAGGTTTGGCAAAAGGCCGTACCGATCTGACCTCGTCGAGCGGCTCAGCCGGGATCTGCGCGCCAGCTGAGTTCTCGCCTTGGCGTGCCCCAGCGCCACCAATCGCCGAGTGGAAATGAATTTCCGAGACCGGAAACCTACGTGCCTTCAGGCTGACTCCGGATCGGTTGGCTGCTGTATCAACTGAGGGACCCCCGCGATCATGTGCAAAAGAGGACTTCGGGAACGAAGTGGGGCGCGTCGTCAGTCTGTGATCAGCCGCAGCCTGCGTCACCGGCCGTGTCTCGGCTAGTTCCAACCTCAAAGGAGAGCGAGTTGAAGGCTCCAGGGGTCGTTGACGAGGTGGCAACGCTCCTGCAGGCCAGTGTCGGTCACCGGTGTGACTCCTTGTCGGGATGGTTTGGAGCATCGAAGGTCGAGGTGCAGGTGCGGTACGGGTTGAGGCTGAAGCTGTAACTGATGTTGGGGCGGCATAATGTCGCCCTAAAGCTGTAGCTATTGCCATGAACTCTTCTGGAGATCTTTCGACGCGGAGGTCACTGTCATCGAAGGCCAGGTCGACATCCTCTGCACGAGGTCCAGAAACTGAGAGTTGGACGCTAGAGGTTGGAGTGGTGATCGGAGCCCCGCTGGCAGCCCCACTGACAGCACCGCCTGAAAACACTGTAAGCGGTCGGGCAGATCCCGCTCCATAGCCAATGTCATCCGAGCTCTCGTATGATGAGTCACTGGCAGCTCCTTCAGCTCCCACTGCACGGATTCGCTTGGGGGGCCTACGGGCCTCCCGCTCCGTATCTCGCGGCCGTCTGCGCCGCCCTGCTCTCTTCCCCCTCTTGCCCATGCTGTAAACAGAGGTACCAGTGCGGCCCGCACGACTCGTCAAACCATGCACGTCGAGCCCTAGCGTTAGTGGGGGAATGCAAGCAAGCCAATCCCGAAAGGAACCTAGGGCAGTAGGGGAGAACCAGTGATCCCAGGGATCCTTAAGAGCCTGAGTTGTCCGGCTGTATCCGAGAGGCAG